TGTGTGTGTGTGTGTGTGTGTGTGTGTGTGTGTGTGTGTGTGTGTGTTTTCAATGAAGTCAGCAGAGGAGACTGACCCTAGTATATGTCTATGTTAACTCCATCTTTATAAAACTAAAATCTCTCAGCAGCTAACAGTACCCCCTCCATCCCTAGTATTGCAGAAGTAGCACTATGAGTTGGGTCAAAGCCCTGGATGTAAGTCCACCTGCACTCATAACCTCAGGCACATCACTCACCAGCACTGATCCCCTATTTGTATATTGAGGTGGCTGATGGATTCCCTTATCACTAAGATGCTCCACATTCCCAGGTCTCTGAAAGTTTCACCCTTAATGATGTGTTAACTCCCTGGTGTATCAAACATTTTAAACAGTCTCTTCCTCTTAACCTCCTAAGAAGCCCTTCTCCTTGCTCCGAGCTCATAAATGCCCACGTCTCGGCAGTGCATAGACACTGGTCTAATTACAATCCTATTTTTTTTCACACAAGAAGTATTCCTATGTCTTACCAGCTAGATTTTGTCCCCTAACTCATCTCAATACTGTTTTCGTTTGAGTCCTGTTCCTTCCTACTATCCTCACTAGTACAAAAAGCAAACTGCTCACCATATGTATATACAGTTTGTAAGAGTTTGAGCAGTTTCTAAAAGAAAAAAAATTCCTCTCTGCAATTTTTTACTTCTGCAAGGCGAAACCCAGAAGCTCCGAGATGTTAAGGCCACTATTCATTATTCACCCGGTCGTGTGGAGACCTGCCTTTTAGCATCTGTGCAGCTCCAGCAGGACCAGGCAGGCTTGCCCTCCCATCAACACAGTCACGGTTCTGCTCACTGAATTGGAAACTTGCGCGGAAGAAGCAAAAACAGGACCTTCAGTGTCGACACACACAAATGTTAACACTTGACAGATTTTTGTGGTACTAACGAGGTCCTGCTAAAACATGAACTGCCCTTTAAGTAAAGACCATATTACACGGCATATCTGACTTGATTTCTCATCATCTGGAGAAAATGTCACCAAAATCAGTGTCTGGCCAGACTCATCACCCTGATGTAGACGAGCGACATGACTCAGAATTACTTGTGAAGGTTGATGGGGACAGAATTTACATCTGTGATCTCTATTCTCACGCTGCTTATTATGTTATGCTACTTTTTAGGTTAGTTTTGTAAGAGTGAAATCAGAAAAGACTGATTTTTGTGGTTTTTAGGGTCCTACTGAAACCTCATTCATCACCTCTTTTCTGAGTAGCTAATAGGTACAAGCTCCTTCGGGGGAATCCACCTACAAAGATAAAAGGACCTGAACCCTTGACCTCAAGGCCTGCCCTCAAGATATGCTGGGGAAACAGAGTCGCACACGAGTAACTAAAATACAAGGCAAAAGATGGTGCATTTCAATAGGGAGGAATAGATCAAGTCAGAGGGCAGAGGTTGCTTCCAACAAAAACACCCAGAGGAGCTTTCTTCGAATCAGAGGCATCTGAGACGAGCCTTGATGAGGGTCTGGAGAGTGGGGACGGGGAGGAAAGGGCATTTAGCCAGAGGTCCATGTGAGCCCAAAAAGAAATGGAAACAGACAGGGCCCCTGTAGGGTGTTTTGTCTGAAGCAAAGGCAGTGAGGGGGTGACAGAGGGAGATGAGGTGAGAAAAATGGGCTGAGGCCTGAAAGCCAGTCTCAGGCGATGGAAGTCACTCTCACCAGAGTGAGTCACGATGGAAGGGCTCTCACCAGAAGCAGGGCATCCTCGCAGCTGTAGAGGATCAGAGCGGGAACACGCGCCCAGCGAGAGTGGGGCAGCCAGGCGATTTGATGGAGTGGGGGAAGCATGACTGACTCAAAGGCAAGAATTATGAGGCCCCCAAACCACTCCTTTGGGAGAGGAAGGGATAAAGCTAGAGCCACGGCGGGGATACAGCCAGGACGTGGGCAAGTGAGCGGAGGTGAGACGAAGAGCGAGTTTGGAAGATGAGATGGATGAGACAAGATCTCGGCAGGAGCTGAGGATGTCTCCGGTCCTTGGGAGAGGCCGGGGCAGGGGACAGAGACATGGATGCTGACATGGTCACGGGAGGAGAGAGAGGCCGTGGAGGGCATGCAGTGAGGTCACAACCTCGAGGAGCACCCAAGGGCCTACATTCCGGTGGTGAGGGAGGGAATGAGAAAGGAAAGCAGAGGAGGGAGGTCAGAGAGGAGGAGAGAAACGGTCAGGGCTCCAAGGGCCACATGAAGATACGGTTTGGTGAGGAGAAGAGTGGTTTGTGAAAGCAGCTCTAGCAGAGTGGTGGAAGCCAATGCACAGCCTCTAGCTGCCTCATCTTCTCCTGTCTTTGAAGCCTCGGCTTAGACATCATCAGCTGTAGGAAGCTTCTCCAAAGTCTCTGTCTGGGTGACGGGCCCTGGGTGCTCCCACAGCATCCTGGACCTGCCACTCCCCAGGGCGCTCGTTACACTGGGTGGGGAGGTTTGCAGTATCTCTTCTGCACTAGACCCTACATTACGAGGCAAAGGGTCTTGTCCATGCTGTCCCGTAGTGATCAACACGCGTCTGAGACAGATAACACAGAAGATCTGCAGGAAGGGAAGTGAGTGGGAGGGAGGGAGGAAAGAAGACTTAAATACAGCCCAGGCTCTGAGTTCTCCAGCCCAGAGGATGCTGCTCTTCAAGCTGCCGTCCTTACCCCTCCCCCATTCCCTTCCACCCTGCTCTCTGGCCTCATCTCCTTGGTCACCAGTTGCGCACCTCCACCCCCAATCCATCCTTCTCACCTGGCTCCTGTCACTTAGTCACTGTCAACCATCTCAGTGATATGTTTAAAAACACCCTAGATGTGTCCGTCAGCTGTGGGCCTTGCCAGTCCTTAGCTCTGCATGATTCTACTCCACCAGTCTTGCTCTAAATGCTGAGTATTGCTGGGGAAAAAGAAATGACAAGCCTCACACATTCATGAGCTCACAAATCTGATCTCAGCTGGGGCCCAGCTGCTTTTTGGTCATCCTTAGTTTCCTTTCAAATCGTCCTCGTCAAGGTCCTGTTCCAAAGCTTTTCTGTTCAGAGACTTCTGTTCAGAGGACTCGTTTTAATTCTGAGTGAAGTTCAAGGGCAATCTGTTGGGTTTTTGGAAACAACCTAAATGTCCATCAATAGATGAATGGATTAACAAAATGTGGAATACAATTCACCCTTAAAAAGGAAGGAAATTCTGACACATGCTACAATAAGAATGAACCTTTAGGACATTATGCTAAGTGAAATAAACCAGTCACAGACATACAAATACTATATGATTCCATTTATATGAGTGACCTAGAGGAGTCAAATTCAGAGACAGAACGTAAAATAATGATTACCAGGGAGTGGGGCAAGGGAGAATGGGGAGTTAGAGTTTAATGGGGATAGAATTTCAGTTTGGGAAGATGAAAAAGTTCTGGAGATGGATGGTGGTGAAGGCTGCACAACAATGTGAATGTACCTAATGGCTCTGAACTCTATACCTAAAAATGGTCAAGATGGTAAACACTGCATGTGTATCTTACCACAGGGGTCCCCAACCCCCAGGCCGCGGACCGGTACTGGTCTGCGGACTGTTAGGAACCGGTCCCTGGTGCCAAAAAGGTTGGGGACCACTGTTTTACCACATACAAATTTTTAAAAATCTCCTTAGAAAATATGAAGGTAACCACAAAGTTGAACGCCAATGGTTTATATATCCAAGTAGGCTAAAGAAAACCCCCATTTTGTAAAACCTTTCCATTGTGAATACGAGGGAATTACCTTATATCTGGGCAAATTTGTTAACCTTTGCTGAGAATTCTTTGAGTAGAAAGGTGGCTAGGTGACACTAATTTTGCACTCTGGTGAGTTTATAACCTGGTCGTCGGGTCCCATTTCTGCTTAGGGAGCTGCAAGAACCAGGTGCTGAACAAGAGTCCCCCATGGAGACTTACACGTGGTGATTTCACACCAGGCTCCGAGCAGTAGCAATACCAGGGCCAAGAAGACACTCGGGGAAAAGCTCTCAACTCAGAGATGAACGTACTCCGTGTGCCGTCCACACGGGGGGATGGACTGATGGGCCGAACATGCTGACAGAC